CTCCTTTTAAATTTATAAAAAATCTGTCACTCATTCATCACGATCTCACAAAGTTCTGTTTTAACCAATGAATGTGACCACACAATGAAACTTTTTTTAATGAAGTTACGAGCATGCAGCACCGGAGCACCGGACAAAAAGCGGTGAGAGCGTTGATTCCAACCTAAACACATCTGATCGGCCATTGCATTGTAGCTCGCAACCCTCATGTCTGTGATTGGCTACTTTGCTCCCCTTTGCGAAAATGCATTGTAAAATCATTTGACGCTTTCCAAAACAGAAGGGCAGATACACTGGATTGTTTGCCAAATAGTGTTCATCGTCTGTTTGATTACGTCTTTAACTGATTTTTCGTTAATTGAATATCTGCAAAGTTACGAAGCTGAAAGATCAATGCAAACAGAGATATCGTCTTTTAAAATTCTGGCAGTTCAATGCCTATAAAAACAGCTGGTAGGGACTACAACAAGTTACTTCCCGGGTTCATGACGTAACAAACCCAGATAAACCCCGCCCTCAGGAAAAGGCAGCAAAGGGGGCGAGGCCATGCTGCGCTGCTTTAGAGAAGAGGAAGAGAAAAGTAGAGGTGCACATAAAAATCTATTCATATATGAATCGCGATTCTGTCTTCTAATGATTCTGATGGATTCACAAGTTTCAAAATCAATGTTCTAAAGCAGCGGTTCTTTATACTGTTCCTCGCATCCCCCCGCTCTGCACACACTCTGCATTTCTCTCTCTCTCTCTCTCTCTCTCTCTCTCTCTCATTCAGCTCAGCTCCAACAATGAACTGTTCCAATTATACACTTATTTTCACATAGCTATCAGAAGCATTAAGCATGGACGTGCGTGCAGTTGCCGTACTGAATTAAAGCTTTAATCAGGATAAAAAGTATAAAAAGTATGAGACCACAGCAAACAAAAAACATAGGCCTACCATTAAAAGCCGTGCTTGCACAGGTTCTGCACGATCCTCTTCAATAATATCCTCTGCTTCTTAATCAGGCTCAAACTGATAAGCGATATTAAGGACACCGTTGTTTACAATACAACCGGAGCACATGACGCTGAGGTGAGGGGCGGGACGGTTAGACGTGCACTAGAGGTGGTTTAGCCAATCACAACACACTGGGCTAGCTAACCAATCAGAGCCCATCATATTTCTGAGGGCAGGGCTTCATATAAACAGGAAATGATCAGCGCGTTTCTCAGAAAAGGGACAGAGCGGTGTGGAATAAAGGTAAATTATGTGAAAAATAATGAGTTTTTTTTTTTTTAAATGAAGCATTAACACATGTTAGACTGCACCCCATAAACACAATCAAGCCTAGAAAAAAACCAGTGAACCACCCCTTTAAGGCTTGTGCCGGTGTGTTCGGCCATCCACTGATTTTTATATAATAGGCCTAACATAAATAATGTATCCTATAGTTGAGTTGGACATCAGACATGCGTCCGCTTAATTTATACAGCACGAGCTGCAGCGCAAGATTAACAGGACCATATGGCTCCGGTGTTGTGCCGAATTCTGACCCCCACCAGATTATTACCCCCCTAGTATTGGTAGGTTTAGGGGGGCCTCAGGGATCCCGGCCCGGCAACCTCAGTGCCCCCTAACCTCTGATGCAATCTCCAGAGTGGGTGCTCTGATTTTAGTCTGTGAGGTTACTGCCCTGGGAAGATCTCCCAGGCTGTTAAATACATGGATTAAAAGGGGAATGTTTTCATTTTGGTTTTCATAAAAAAAAAAAAAAAATTATAATTCGTTCAGGTTCCAGAGCTAAATAAGAATGGAGCGTTTAGAAAGAATTCGAATAAACTTTGCTAATAGCCTGTTCTTGAATCTTCAAACTGCTAACACTTTGCAGTTTCGAATGCCTACTGTAGGCTATGGCCAAAAATGATGGACTATGCCTATATTTCCGCTGTTTGATCACGCCGGCGCCTCACACGCACACTACCCATTGCAAACAGCGCAGCCATTCACCGTGCCGTTCAGCGGAAGCACTGGTCCACTGTGGCATTTTTTTGCTCATTATGATTTTTTCCGTCGACACTGGAACGCGAGTGAACTACAAAACCTATTTGACCTAATAGCCTAAATATATAGCTTCAAAAACATCGCGCATATGGAAACGTTTGGATTTGTGCCGAATGAGAGAAGTAGGATATGAGCCCAACTTTACCTTCAGTTTCACTTTGTTTTGGCTTGTTTATAGCTAAGCCTATATTATATACTGCGATTATATTTATCCATTATAAATATTATATACATTTATTTTATTGATGTATTTATGACATCAATTACTACATTCTTTTTTTCAGAAATTTAAGTAACTGTAAATGTTATTGTGTGTTTGTACTTTTCATATTTTTAGCTATCTACACCAAAACTAGAGAGCTTCCAGTAGGTTATTTTATGGAGCTGTCAATACTGATCTGACCGCCTTCAGTCAGCTGACGAACATCCTATTCATACATAATACTAGGCTATATGTTATTAAATTGTAGGATATATATATATATATATATATATATATATATATATATATATATATATATATACAGTGTATATATATCAAATTTATTTACAAGTTTCGTGTTTGTGTTTTTCCCGTTTTAATCGTTGCATCTGAAAATTACTTCAACACTAGTAGTCTACATAATTTAAAGGAGACATATTATGCCCCTTTTTACAATATGTAATATAAGTCTCTGGTGTCCCCAGAATGTGTCTGTGAAGTTTCAGCTCAAAATACCCCACAGATAATTTATTGTATCATTTTGAAAATCCCTATTTTGAGTGGAAGCAGAAATACGCTGTTTTCAGGGCCTGTCTCTTTAAATGCAAATGAGCTGCTGCTCCCCACCCCGTTTTCCAGAATAGAGCTGCGCCATTACAGCTCGGACCTGCTAAAAACTAGTGGTGGGCAGAGCGAGGCTTCATGAAACACTGAAACAGTCGAAGCAAATGTGTCAAGGCTTTGAAACAATTCGACAACCGTGTCTACGGTGACACCTAGTGGTCATTTTCAAGTATTGCTTGAAAATGTGGGTTAGGGGAGTGGTTAGTGTGCATGGCTGGCATGTTGTTAGAACCTGTCACTTTAGGTACGAATCTCGGATGAAACATGTATATAATTATAATAAATATTTGAAAGTTGTGTTTTTATTGTTCTGTTCCTGTAATGTGTTGTAACATCTCTCTGACAACTGAATGAACTCTTTGTGAATATGTTATTTTGGTCATGAAAAAATTAACATTAATAAAACATATCAAGCCACCACGCCTGGCATTTTTTACATATAAAGATTTTTATTTAAAAATATTAATTGTTCTGCTGCATTAACTCCAGTTTTATACTTTGCGGGAGTTAGGTTAAGACAGATGTGTGATTGTGTGGTTTGTTCCCGACCCTATCGATCAAAAACAGATTCGGGTCTCAAAACACTTGTGAAATGCCCAGATGCTTTGATTCGCCTTAGTCACGTGACATGGGTGTTTCGAATCACACTTTGGAGCAGTGTTTCGAAACATCTGCGCTTCGGGATTTCGACACCGTGTCGAAACGTCAGTTTCGCGTCAGCCATCCCTACTAAAAACATCTGTTTTGGTTCTGATTATCATGTTTATCGCGCTGAAATCATGCGGTTTAAACCATATGAGTTTAAAGGGGTCATATGACATTGCTAAAAAGAACATGATGTTGTGTATTTGGTGTAATGCAACATGTTTATGCGGTTTAAGGTTAAAAAAACACATTATTTTCCACATAATGTACATTATTGTTGCTCCTATATGCCTCGCCTTTCTGAAACACTTTCGATTTATACAAAGCTCATCGTTCTGAAAAGCGAGGTGTACACTGATTGGCCAGCTATCCAGTGCATTGTGATTGGCTGAATACCTCAAGCGTGTGACGGAAATGTTACACCCCCTAACATACTGTGATGTCATCTCCCAGCATGACGAGACAAAACCAATAAAACCCATTACATATGAGGCAATTGTTGCATCCATTGGGGACATAATTACTGACTATAATGACTTATACTGTGTTTTTACACATTGCGTTGCGTTGCGTATCGCACTGCGTAAACATAAAACCATGTCTGCATTTGTGATCGGAGAAACGACAAACAAAAAAGCGCTAACGTTAGTCCATACACTTCAGTTTGGGACAACCTTCGTCACGCCGCTGTGACGCAATCGCACTTCAAATGCGCCCTCCGGAGTCTGTGCACTTCACTTTGGGACACAGCTAACGTGTTTTCACAAGCGACAACTGTGTACCAGCTCTAATGCCATGGCATACAAAAATGCATGGATTCGCTACAGGAGGCCTTTATACTAAATCGAATACATCCTTACTATAGTGAAAAACAGTACGCCAAAAGAAAAGAATGTCCGAATTCACAGTAATCAAAAAACAGTAGGGGAAAAATACCCAGATGACCTACTGCTTCCTACTGGATTCTGAAGTGTGCACTTATCTATTTCACGAGGCCACTGAAGAGGATTTATGAATGATAGTGAAGCAATGCAACTGATGCGAGTAGGTCACATAGCAACATTCATACTATATAGAACATATTTTTTTAATGGTCGCAAAGTTAAACTTGTTAAGTTTGAGTGTGTAAGGACAAAACGCACAAAATGTACTAATTTCAATACCCTGTAGATGGTGATATTGCTTCTTTTTTAGCAAAAATAATCTGCTGCAAAAAAAGTAAGCTGATATGCAAAATGTAATGGGTAACTGTGTTACTCACTGCAAATGTAGTTGAGTAAAGTATACATATACTTATTCAAGAATATAGTAAAATAGAGAGTAAAAGATGCTAATATCTTCGATACTCAGATATCAAATTACAAAGCACCCAATAAGATACTTAAGTAAAGTAAATTTACTCAAATGCATTATAAAGTGAGTAGTATACAGTATTTTTATACACACACTGCATGATGTATGTACATTATGTATGTGTGTATTTAGTACCTGGTAACTCAGATGATGTTTCCTCTTTCAATGATGTGTTTCCTGTAGAGGGTCTTCAGCACCTTGGCACTGCCAAATCTCTTAAACCGACTCTTCACATTATTGTAGAACCATTCTAGTGACTGTGTCCTTAAGAGCCTACACACAAAAGATAGTTTGTGGATGTTAAATTAAATACATTCTAAGCTCCACTATACAAATAGACACAAAGCAGAGCTAGATGGGAGGCAATCCCTGCCGGTACGAGACTCGAACCCACAACCTTTGGGTTACGAGTCCGACTCTCTAACCATTAGGCCACGACTTCCCCAATATATATATTAGTAGTTCATTATATATGGTTCAACATAAGTGAACAATGCCAGGATGACCTACTCAAAAAATATTTAGGCCTAAATTTAAGATTTATGTTTATGAATTGCACATAAAATTCAATCAATCTTGGTTTCACGTTTTAATCTAACTTTTGCCTACATCTTGTGAACAATCTGCCAGGCTGTTTTGAACAAATGTGCATACATAATTCTTCATAAATTAAAAGAACATATTTAGATATGACTTTACTGTTAAGTGTCATTGCCTCTCCTTAAACTCTGCAGTGTATAGGCTACGTGGCCATTAGTCCTTTACAGAAGCATAAAAAATATATCTTAAAAATAAAATGATATAGGCTACAGAAAGCGAGCAACGAGTGCTCCCAAGCTGTCATTCACTTCAGCTGCAGCGCGAATGGCTATAATGGCAATGCTGCAAATCGAATGTTGAGGCTCCGCCATTATTATTGAATTTCATTAGTCACACTTATTTATGTGCGTTTGTTTGCGGGAAAGTGAGCAAGACATGACAGTTACGGTCTCATGATTATGGTTAAATAAGATGAAAGACATAGGCTATAATATAAATAAATTAGCTACATTTATTTTCAAATTAAATATCACAACACACATTTATCATTCAGTCTAGTGCGTTTTACATATAATGTAAGCGCAACTTGTGTAGATTTAACAAGGCATGACTGCTTCATTTTGGTATGTATTTGTATACTTTTACCATCTAATCAAGCTCAGCATGCTTTAATTTTGTGTCGCTAGACGTTTGCATCACTAAGGTTAAATTAGTATAATTATAATTTGTTAAATTAGCATAATAAGGTTAAAAGTCTTTCTTTGGCCTGCACTCTGGAAGTGATCTGTTAAATCTAATACAATTTATTTACTCAAACTAAAACTAAACTAAACTATATAAAAACTAAATAGAAATGTGTTCACAAAATAAAAGCTAAACTAAAACTAACAAAATTATTAATGAAACTAATAAAATGAAACTAAATTTTATTGCAAATTTGAAAACGATATAAAAATAAAACATTTAAAAATGCAAAGCTATGATAACCTTGCTCTACACTGCTCAAAACTCACGTTTGAATCATCAGTGGCAAATCCTTTAAATATGAAAACGTACTTACAGCCTGTGAGTCAGAACAGCCGGCATTGTAGTAAACTCTCCCAGGAAACAGTCCTCCATAAAATGCACTGCACACATCTGAGTATTTGGGTTGAACTGTTCTGGAACAGTGTTGTAAATACAACTTAACCACTGATTTCTAGACGTGTCCTCTTTTGGAAGGCCAAACAAAATATTTTCGCTTTCACAATGAAACACACAGCGTCTTCACAACATGGTGGCAGCGGTGGCAGCAACAATAAAGTTACGCCTTCTTTCTTTGCGTGAACATTTGGGCGGCGTTATGCAAATCTTCCCACATCATGACGTAGACATGTGGGGGCATGTTTAAACAAGGCGTTTTAGGAGGGCGTGGACCAGTCTTAACTTTTATAAAGAATAGCTCTTTGGGTTTGAGACTTCAGTTTTTGCAACTTTAGGGATCTTATCTATTCACGAACAGATTGGAATACTCCAAAGAGAAAGGAAAACTTGAAATCGCACAATATGACCCCTTTAAAATGCTCTCTCTCTTTATATTCAAAGCATGAAGCATGACCCTGCAATCATTCTTGACAGATGTGTGTCCAGCCATCTTCAGATATGACATTTGCCAAATGAAAAAATCCAGCACCTGTGGAATAAAGCGCTGATATTATGCACATCAGAAACTGAGATATAACAGCTTTCCCATGGGAACGTAGCATAGTTATTGCGGGATGTCTAAAAGCTGCAAATATCCATCACAGCAATGGCAGATCTAATAGGGTTGTGGTAAAAAAATCTAAATGTCTCAGCTAACAGAGATTAAGATCAAAATTTAAATTTTGTGGATTAGGGCCAAATCTGTTAGTTTTGAGTCTAAATGCTAATACACTCCTAAAAGTTTAACAAAATGAACTTTTAGTGGAAATACACATTTAAAAATTGTTCTTTAGAATGAGAATGTCCCTTCCCATAATGCCACAGGAAGTTTTGTATCAAAGCTCAAGGGATGTCATAATAACAATAGATTACGATATATAGATTATAATAGATACAGTACAATAGATTATGAATTTAGATTTAATTTTTCCACTGAATTAACCAACATATAAGAATTAATAATGACGACAACCACAAAAAGTAGTCCATATGACCTAAATTGTTTGCTAAATAAATAAATCCCAGAACTGTACAGTTCTGTTCTTTCAAAACAAAATAGGCTCCATCTTGAAATGAATGCTTTCCAGCTTTGCAAGGATTAATTAAACATCTGTTTGGAGGTTAATGCAGTTCACGTGCAGTTCACTTAAGTGTTGCCACATTATGGACAGTTACCCTTTAGCCCTAGAATGAAATCAGTAAAATGGCCGATTAAGGGGATTACAACAGTACAAGCTGGGAAAACACACAAAAATCATATGCTTACATCTATAAAATAACATTACACTCAAACATGATCTTTATTCTCTTTGTTATCTCTCTCTCGCTCTCTCTGTCTTTTTTCTGTCTTTGAACTTTTCTTTTGACAGCAGCTTAAATGTTCTCTATACTGCTGTTCTCTGCTTGACTACAAGTCTTTATACATAATGAAAACCTACACAAAGATTCCCTTCATTTCAAACATCTGTCAATACATCTAATAAGTTCTATAAATGTATTAATTCTGTCACAATGAGCCCAGCACAGACTATTGCCCAGAATTAGCAGTATCACATCTGTTTCACTGCTTACATTAGCTGTGCCTTATGTGCCCTTAAACTAAAGTGTTTACACCCTGGCCAAGACTTATCCTCAGGAGGTGCTGTAACACCCAAACTGAAGAACATTTGAAAAGCATCTGTGTTCTAACTCAAAATCACACTGTACAAAGAAGACGACACATCAAATAGCTCCGGCAGGGTGAGATCTCACAAACATTTCATGAACAATCCCTTCTGTCTCTCGCTCAGTGACCACAGTTTTCATCACAGCAACCTCCTTTTCTCTCCCTCTGTCCAACAAATAGCTCATGTCTGTCCTTGAACTATCAGGTTATGAAATGCCTTCTAATGATCATGAGAATCCAAATAAATTTATTGGTAACACTTTAGATTAGTGAACACATATTCAATATTAACTAAATGCTTTCCCTCAATAAAAAATGTTGCTGCTTATTGATATTAATTAAGGTAGTTGTTGTAGTAGTTAAGTTAGGTAATGGGTGGGTTTAAGGGTTCTAATATATGGTCATGCAGAATAAGGCATTTATATATTCTTGTACTAATGTACTAATACTAATAAACAGCCAATATGCTAGTAATTTGCATGCTAATTAGCAACTAGTTAATAGTGAATATCTAAAGTGTCAACTCACACTCTCAGATGACTGTATATCAAGTTTTTCCTGTGTCCACCAAGAGTTTCATAAGAGATCTCACACTGTGCTCAGATCATTTGCAATCAGATGTGAGAGTAATTTTAATATGAACTTAAACCTCTACATTGGCTTTATAGTTATAAACATACTATATGTCAATAACTGTCTCAGTTGCTCAATTGCAATAAGTGTTAAGAGTCAACCACGCCTACCTAAAACAGCTAGTTCTAACACGCCCCCACATGGCAACGTCACGATGTGGGAAGATTTGCATAATGCCGCCCAAATGTTCATGCAAAGAAATAAGGCGTAACTTTTATTCTTGCTGTAGTATTGTTGCTGCCACCATGTCGCGAAGACGCTGTGTGTTTCGTTGTGAAAGGAAAACTACTTTGTTTGGCCTTCCAAAAGAGGATGATATCCGCTTCGTCATGCCTAGAGCTGATCCGTGCTGGTTGCTGAGGAAATACAACAACTTCGCGCTGTGGATCGCCGGATCGGCTTTCACTGTGGACGAAGCGGAGTCAAGCCACATGTGACTCCTGCCGCAAACCCGGCAGTGTACGCCGTTCTCAAGCCCTCCGGCCTCCTCTCACTCTAGCCCGCCGTGTGTGACGCTGTGTATTTCGTTGTGAAAGCGAAACTACTTTGTTTGGCCTTCCAAAAGAGGATACGACTAGAAATCAGTGGTTAAGTTGTATTTACAACACTGTTCAACCCAAATATTCAGATGTGTGCAGCACATTTTATGGAGGACTGTTTCCTGATCCTGGTAGAGTAGACTACAATGCTGGCTGTTCTGACTCATAGACTGTAAGTACGTTTTCATTTTTAAAGGATTTGCCACTGATGATTCAAACGTGAGTTTTGAGCAGTGTAGAGTAGCGCTTGTTGTTTGTCATTTCTCAGATCACAAATGCAGACATGGTTTTATGATTACGCGGCATGATGCAACGCGTAAAAAGACAGTATAATCCATGCTTTGTAAAAATCAAAACGTTTCAGAAAGGCAGGGCATAGAGGATAAACAATAATGTACAGTATGTGGAAAATAATGTGTTTTTTGAACCTTAAACCGCATAAACACATTTCATTACACCAAATACACCAAATAATGTTATTTTTAGCAACATCATATGACCCCTTTAAATATTTTATGAATTTACAAATATTTATAAACAATAACGATCATAATAACCACAAAAAAGTAGTCCATATGACCTAAATTATTATAATTAATTTATGTCATATTAACTACTTTTTGTAATAATAAATTAATGGGATAATAATAATAATAATAATAGTAATAATACAATTTGTATTAAATAACTTGTGGTTCACTGACAAAAGACAG